GCAGAGGGTGGAACTTAGGAAAGCTCTGTCCTTGCCACTTGGTAGGGCACGACCAGGCCTTGCAGGAGGTGGAGTGGGTACGCCATGCTGAGTGCTATTAAACTAAATCTGCACTTGTGGTCTTATGCCCTGCCTAGTTTCCCTGTCTCTTGGTAGATGATGTTCAGTTGTCCATGGGCAAGCCTGTGTGGATGCCTGATCTTCTTTCAGAAGTGATGGTGGAGGTGAGGGCTGTGGGTGGCTCCTTTCTTCACTTGTTCCCCTTTCTTATGTGCTTCAGTGCCTTGCTCCAAGGAGATGTGGAGCAGGTGAGAAGGGCTCAGCTGTGTCCGGATGGAGGTGGAGGCCCTGCCCTATAGCATGGCCTCGCTTCGTGAGCATCACCTTGCCTCTCTGGGCTGGGGACCCAGGTGGCTGGTGCAGGTGGCTGTTGTGGGGTGAGTTGCAGCTGGCTCTGACTGGGGAGGGCTGCGGGGGCACAGCTGGAGCCAGGCACAAGCTGGTCCCTCAACCACGAGGAGACTTGGTGGGGCCGATGCAGGGTTCACCTCACAACATGTGTGTTCCACCTGTGAAAGCTGCCTATGATACGTGTGTATTGCCAAGGTAGTAAGGTGCTTCTTGGAGGAGGGAGGAGATGCCTTTTGTGTCATTAAGGATTTAGCAAAGAGAGTGGATGCGTTGGTGTGGCACTGACGGGGTGGGTGACAGCATGAGCAGTCAGCGCTGTCCTGCTCGCTGCCCGGCCTGGTCCCTGGATTGATGCTAGGAACTCGCCTGGGGAACAAGTGCCTTTAAGCTCATCATGTGCTTCTAACTCTATGTTTTTGTTTGTTTATTTTTTAATGCCTTCTAGAAATAAACTTTCTCGTAACTCCCCACTGGTCCAGTGCTTTCTGTGCTGTGGTAATACCACAAGCTGTGGGAGGTCAGCAGCCATTATAGACACTGGACAACTAGCACATGTCATGAAAGGTTCTTTCACCAATGGCTTCTCGCCCATAAATGTAAAATGAGGAGGTAAAAGTGGATGTAAGAATGAGAAAAGGAGAGACCACACTGAATGGCAGCAGGAGCAGAGATACACCAATACCTCTGCACAAATGCACAGATTGCTCAGAGCCATTTTTGAACCTTGATGCCTTGAACATCCACTGGCTTCAGAAACTCTCCTGACTTTCCTGGAGCTCTGACACCCACAGGCAGCATGTGCCTAGAAAGCTACAGTGAGTGAGTTGGGCTGGGCACTGCCCTTAGCTGGGGATGTGAGGTGCAGGTGAGAAGCCAGGGCACACAGCAGCAGTGAGAGCTGCTTAACCTCATATCTCTCTGCTTTGCTGCTTTGACCTAATAATGTGTAGGTATTTCTCATGCTTTAGATTTTTAGCTGAAACTCACAGGCTGATTGCTACTGGAACATGCTACTAAGAAATTTTACTACAACACACTTTGAATTCACATTGATTTTATAGAAAAAGAATTTGAGACTTCTCTTTTTTAGAATCAGCAGCACTGCTGTTCTGAGTACGATGGTGTGGCACGCTGTTTGGAATTTCCCTTGCTTTCTATATATATACATGCAGCAAAGCCACAGGAAATAGAAGTTAAAAAAAAAAAACAAAAAACAGCCATAGAACATAGGTATCTTCTTGAACAAATTTTATTCTTGTCATTGGTTTTATCATTAGTGAGCACTTAATCTTGGGCCATCACTTAAGGCTTGTTTTAAAAGATCTGATGCCCTATAAATCATTTGAGGGTGAAACGCATTGCCTTAAAGTTGCTGAAAAATGAGAGGATTTTTAGGCTCTTGGTTCTGTAGTTCTGCACTTTATGATACGTACTGCAACTTTATTGTTGATCTTCTCTCTCCCGGGGCTTTTGGGGTGAGGACTCACTGCTGAGTTTTCTCCCAGTCGTCTCTGCTGTGATTCACTCTCGCCTACAGTTGCTGTCACAATAATGTGCTAGGGCCTATTTCTGCATGGCAACCTGCATAGTCTGGCATTGTAAGTAAATAGCATTTACTTTGAAATCCCATCCTAAATATGGTATCATTAAATCCAGCAGCCACGAAGACTAACTTGCCAGCACTCAGACTGAATCTGTGGTCTGAAAACATTGTTAGTGAGAGAGCTGCTCAGGAGCCCTGAGCCAATCCTAGCTCTGAACTCATGCTGCGCTGGAGAGCAAAGCTTGAGGAGGGTGATTCTAAAGAGGGAGCAACTCTAGGAGAAGGGATTGAGTTGGTCATGAAGGTAGTTGGACAAAAAACACCCAGGCATCTCTGTGTGATAGTGCATTCGTACAAGGCCTAGAGGAGACAGTTACTTGTCTCCTTCCAGACTCCCACAGGGGTACAGGTACATCTGCCTGCCTTTTAGCACTGTTCTGCCTCTCGAGTGAGGGTACTGCTCATCAGTGCAGAGAGACTGACAGAAATCAGAATGGGCCTGATATTGGGGTTTGGTTACGTTGGATGCCTTTGGCAACTGATGCAGTAAATAAGGAACTGAGTCCCATATGGTCATGCAGACTTTCTGCATGGTTTCAAGAGTCTATGCAATTTTACAAATGTGTTTTCAGTGAACATATGTTGTACAAATGGCTAATGAAAGTTCATGAAGTTTATGCTGTTCAAGTTGCTTTCATTTTACACAGTTCCTTTCTTACTCATGCACTGTCATTGCTTTCTTTTGGAAAAGAAGCTGCATTGCTTTCACCATTTGATACACACTACATGGACAGCAGTCCATGTGGCAGAGAAAAAAACTGCATGAGGCCAAAGGAGCGTTCCTTAAAGTAAAGGGTTCAAAAATAGTGTGAATTCATGGCTGCTTTTACTTCAACACTGGGGCAGTGGAGCTGACAGTTCTTATACATTCCAGCCTACAGTTTGAGGAAGCTGCACTGTAAATGAAGGTGTTGGAATTGCTTGGGAAGTACTGATGTGTATGCTGTGCTTGCTGAGGAGAGGGCAAAGCACTGGGTGGCAGCTTTTTTAGGACAGATAGTGTATGCCTTATAGTCTGAATCAAACAGTTGCAGAAGATGCTGGTAGTTTAGTTTTACAGCATCTAATTGGTTTCTTGGTTAGCATAAAGACAGAGAAATAGGTAAGGTTCTTCTTACTAGAGTTGGGGGAAAATGGGAAGTAATAAAATAGCCCCAAAGCTGAGGTATTTTTGTGCTGGAAAGTAGCTGGACTTTTCATGCTGGTATTCAAATTTCAGTTTTTTATCGTGTAGCTTTAGGTTGTAAGAGACTTGCTGTAACCTATGCTTGATCTGTAACTTCATCAGTCTGTATTTGCTGCGCCTCTTTGTAGGTATATCCAGTTTCCCAGCAGTCATTTCACCTGAATCCTCCTTTTCCAGGATTTGCATTCCAATCTCTGCGTTGACAGGGAGGGAACTACTTTACAGGACTTGAAGCAATGTCAAGGATATCTTCTGTTGTTTCCTGTGTACTGCAGCTTCCTGTATCTAATTCTTCCATCCATATCTAATAGTTGCAGTTCAATCTGTCCAAGTATACCCAGAGGGCAGCATTAATGTACTTTAAAACCATAAACAAGGTTTGTCTAATGAGACACTAGGCAAAAGAAATAAACTAACCATTGAGAGATTAGCTTATGCCACAGGAAGTTTAATCATATTTTTCTCAGCATGTATTTTGTGTGCTGCATCTGATCTCTAAGACCTTAAAAGGCAATGTTTAAAATGGTCACTTTACAGGAAAAAAAAAAGAAAAATCTCTGCACATTTATGTATGCTGTGATGGGAAAACCAAGCTAGCAATCGTGGGCTTACAATTAGATAAAGAGTAGATCAGTAACAAAAACACTGCACCTGCACACTGCATGTCCATGTGTCTGTTTCTGGTAATTGCAGTAAGGCAATATTGGCAGAAATCATCATCTCCCTTTGGGCTGTAAAAGAATGGTGAAAAAGCAGATTTAAGATGTGCTTAGAGAAGATAGTTCTGTCTTTAACTGTGCATCCCAGAATTTCTGACATGTCTTGCTCAAGGATTGGCTCCAGGCCATAAGACTACTGCTGTCCCAAGGAAGGGACATTTCTTTCCCTCTCATCCTAAGAGAGCAGCTTTCTCTCTGTGTAGTTCTAGTTGCTCCAGCTGTTCTGTAACCATCCAGATGTTAATCATACAGACAGAACTGCTGTGGTGCTTCATTATGCATGTTGGGGAAAGAGGAATGTACTGTTTCCTCTCATGCTTTGTGAACCTGGACCACGGCAAAGAACACTTTGTTCACTTACGTTGAAACTACTTGGAGAGGAAAACTGATGAAAATTTAGTGCTGCGGGGAAAAATAAATTGGAGACTGGACTTAACTCCTAGCAAGCTGCTGTTCAGCAGGAGAAACTTTTCTGTTTGGGAGACCAAGAGATGGTTGATGCTGTAGGAAATCCTAGCAATTACTGGAAGTAAGAGGGGGGAGAAAAAAAATACAAATAGACACTGAGCAAATGCATGGTCCTCTTCAAGTGCGCTACTGAAAAGGAAGCAAGGCAGAAGATGGGTGGTGTTAAAGTAAGGTGGGTGGATTTCTTTAGTGTATTTGTCTGCACACCATCCAGCTCTGACCTATTAAGAAATACTGGGAGCTATGGCTGAGAAAAACCCTCCAGTCCCCGTGTGTAGACATTGTTATGTCTAATCTTTCTTCTCAAAACAACTTCCTCATACAGCTGAGAGACTCCAGTGCAGACATGAAAAAATTTAAGCTAGCAATGGCATAGCCACAAAGGTTGTGCAGCAGGGTAGGGCATTAACTGTGTTCTCATGCATCTGAAATGTCATTTGTCCTCTGAAATGAGTTATTTTCAACATATTTGAATATAGTTTAAGACGCTGGTTATCGCTGCAGGAACAGAATAACTCATACCTGAAACCATGACATTTAGTTAGCCACCAAGTAACAGACTCTTTTACACTTTAATATCCTAAAAGATAGTTTTGACTACTAATACAGTAAAGCGACTGCACAATCACTTTTATTATAAAAATACTTAAGTGAAATTGGAATACAGTCAATAATTACACAAATACTTTTGCAAACATGTAAATTATTTATGGCACAGAAAAAAAAATAAATATCCCTGTACATTGTTTCTGTGCAAAAAAAGACAGGCTAGCGTTCGTCAATAACCAGCCCTTGAATTTTTTCTTTACTTCTCCAGATTTTAGTTGAACACAAGAATTTTCAGGTAGGATGTTTGAAAGTTCAGCTTCAATTTCCAAGAAAATACTTTCACTTGAAATCCAGATAAAGTACAAGAAGATTTTTCTTATCTTATGCCTAACTCCTCCATTCTTCAGCATGTGCTGTTTGGAAGAGAATGATGTTTTCAAGCTCAGTGACTTTTTCCACAAGCCTTCAGACTGTTGTGAACAATTAGACTCAATAGTCAAACTGGAGTCGAAAGCCAGCTTCCACTACATTTTGTTTTCTTTAGTTTGTAGTAGAAGTTGCATTACGCTTGCGTTGCTCGCAGCTGTTAAATTCTTCACAAGAACATTTTGCTTTTTCTCTAAGTCTTCCATACAGTCCACAAGAAGGTGAAGTCAAATAAGAGGTAGATCCTGTTCATCCTCCTAGTTCCTAACAGCTGTCCATCTGAATTACTCTGGTTAGGAGTATAGGAGATGGGCCAAGTTTTACTGTCTGTAGAGTAGTGATTGATTTATGTGCCTCCCATCACATCGTCATTGGCAACATTCCGTAACGTGCTTGAGAAACTCATCACTGAGTTCATCACTGAAAAATCTCATACAATGAGGACACCTAAGTTCACCCTGTGCCCTGCCCTCTGATCCTGAGTTTCCATTGTCAGCAGGTGGGGAAGGCTGTTCAGACTGTGAGCCTGTTCTTCTTGCACCTGGTTGGCCTGGGCTGCTGCCTCGTAGGTGTTCAACTTTTGTCTGTACATGCATATGATTCTGGTTACCAGTGTGAACTCTGAAACGACTACTTGTGTCTCTGGAGTCCTAGAAAGAGAAAGAAGAGCTCTTGAAGAAAAAAAAAAAAAAAAAAAAGTAGAAGTATATCTGCAAAATAATGTTACCACCTTAATCTGAAACACTGTGTATGTCTTTACCTGAAGATTTGGAAATAGAATAGGTGACATTTTTAAAGTTTTATTAAGAAAAAGTCAAGCGGGCTTGTAGAAAACAGGACAGAGCTGGCATGATACTTTAAAGACACCGCTGTTACAAAAGTCAGTTTTCCCTGTCTTCCTTATAACAATTTACAATTACTGTGGTCAATGAAAAGAGGGAAAATGGGCTGGAAAGAGTATGTAGTAGGATGCATTTTTACTACAAAACAAAACTACAAAGCAATGGTTTGTGATAGCTGCACTGAACTGACATGGTTTTAGAAGTACTAGGATTTTTTAAATAATGTTTTCTTAAAAGTACATTGTAGATGAGATGCTCTTATTTGAAAAAACTGTTGTATTGCTTGTTTACCTTCTTGCCTTCTTGCCTTCTTGCTAGCTGGTGTTGCAGACATGAAACTTCTAGCTGAAGTTCTTGTATTTTACTCTGTGCTCGTTCCCTGTCTGATCTCTCTGATGTGAAATCATCTTTATAAACTAGGACCTGAAAAAGAATTATGTTCATATTTTAGTAAGAGTATAGCAGGTGAGATTAAGTAGTTGAAGCTGAGATTCTTTCTTTGAAAGCACTTATTTCCCAAATCTCAGTATGTTCATTTCTATCATATCTTTGCTTTAAAGGCAGTTTTTCTTTTTTACATCTTAGATTTTTGTAATATCTTGTAGAAAATAAAAATAATATTTTAATGGCAACAGAACTGCATGTAATTCTTTAAGTAGGGTTTCTTTCTCCAAGTGTTGTTAAGTAGCCAGATGAGGCAAGACAAATGGCAAAAGGAAAAGATTTGAGGTCTGCATATAGAAAGAAGGAATTCCCAAATCTAGAGGAAAAAAACATCTAAGAACCTGTTGCTCCAGCATTTGTATGCGCTCGCTATCTCCTTCTCTAGCCTTCTTCACATCTTCCAATTCTCTCCTGGATTTTTTGCACTCGTTCATTTTTTCTTCCAGCAGCTTGTTTAGCCGGAGTATCTCCTTTTGCATCAGCTCAGAACTGGTTTGTGCTGAAGGTGTGCTGTGCTGCTGCTCCAGCTGTGACTTCAGCTCTTTCAGCTGCAAGTGGAGTCGCTTCACATACTCATCTCTACTAGCGTCGTACTTCTGCCATTTTGCATTTAAGTCTTCCACCTGAAAGACCACCCAGTAGCATCACAACACGAAGGTGCAAACATCCAAGCTTTCACAGATTGTCTACATGGGCAGGACCTAATTTCTCTACATATGTAGTATATAATATGCTGACTCAACCACTGTGCATCAATGAGCCATTCCATGGGAGAGTGGAAGGTCATTATGCTATAAGCTGAGTCTTCCATCTGCCAAGTCATAGAGACAGCATTAAATCATATGGAATGGGAAGGGTTGGTGGTCACCCTTGGACCAGTGCCATTCTTCTGGAGTGGAATATTGATGCAGGGAAGGAACAAGAAAGCCATTTCCTTCTGCAGTGTATTTTTAACAACAAAAATAGATTTGAGATAACATAATAAGCTGTTCTTGGCCAAGAGAACAAAGACTGCCACGCTGAGAGGAGTAAAACTATCTGGGAATTGCCTTAAACTGGCCTATAAGTTTGGAATGGGAAGGGCCTAGTTAATCCAAATACTGTAGTTCAAAATAATGAAATTTTTATTTTGTACAAAATAAAGTACTCACATGAGCTACTTTTTGCTTTAACATTCTATTTTCATCTTGTAGTTTGCAGATAAGAGCTTGAAGTGAAGTTTCATTGTCTAATACCTGTAACTTTCAGATAAAGAAAGCGTTATTTAGCTATGCTGTGAAACTGGAGGTAATTTCTTTTATAAGTACTTGCTATCAGTAACACAAACACATGCATACTAAGAGGATAGCTTACAGCTTTTCATCCTAATAAGCACAATGTAATCAGTTTTGTTACTACCTTGGTACTGCTTTTAAATATGTCCGTGTGGTCTCATAAAATCATGTCGCACTCCAGGCCCCCAGAGCAACAAGGCCAATAACACACAGCTCCCGTGCCAAAGGGCCTCAGTGCTGCCAACAGCACCTGGCAGTTTACATGAAGGTATTGGAAACGATGTATTTGAAGTGGGGAAACGCATGAAAGGGCACATACATGTCTTCATCTTGCTCTGCTACTACTGTCAATTTTGGCTACTACAAGAAAGTAAGCAGCTTTTTAATAGAAATTTCTAAGTTGACTGAAAGGGTACCACTTTTTTTTTTTTTATACAGTTGTGACATCTGCTTTAAAAAAAGCCCCAGTGTATGTGAGTAATATAGAACACTTTTGTACAAAATTCCCTAGAATCAGCTAGTACTTGCCTCTGAAATTTCTCTTCAACAGGGAAGTCCCCGCTGGACAAGGTTAGCTAGTTATTACATACATCAAAGTCTATCAAGTTTCCTGCCTATCAATTATACCAAGTATAAGAATACTGGAAGTTTCAAGTGCCTTGTACAGTCCTTTCTTCTCACACCAACCCCACCTCTGTCTGTTTCTCAGAGGTCGTTCTAACGTGATTAAGTTTCCTTTAGAAGTGCTCCTTGTGTGTTCAGAGTGCAAGTGACCTATGTGTGTGAGTACCACAAAAGCATTGGTCCACAACCATCTGAGACACAGCCTTACCGCTACACCACAAAACCATGCGACAGAACGACGCCATGCAGTGCTATAGCATCGTACTCGTCCCTTCTGATTTTACCCACTTATGGTATTTTCATGAATTACTTCATCACTGCAACCCGCCATGATTTCTGGAAGAGTGGAACAACACTCTTTACCCTATGCTGCAAAGCTTCAACTGAGGTGACGATGCTGTAAAGCCACAACACTGTGTGACAAAATCCAGGTGTTTGCACCTCCCCCACCAGGGACATTTCTGCCCCTTTTCTATCATGAAGCACTTTGTCTAAACACGCCTGCTGGAGAGAAGCATCGTCTTAGAGTGGGAGGGCAGAGGGGAACCCCAGAGCAAAAATAGGTAAGACATTTTGACCTGCTCTTTCCTAACCAACTTTCTGTAGCTCTGTGCTACTCATGCAAAGCCACGTGCCGTAGAGTTGTTAATAGAAATGCTACTTTAAAAAAATTACTCCTTATTTTGTGACTTAGATGCTTCCAGCAGTCATCACACATCACCTTCAAAAACACAGCACCATCTAGTGATGCACACGTTTTTCAGTCTCAGGAAGGTATCTGCCTGCTGTGCATGCAGGCAAGAATTGCCATCAGGGAGCTGCTGAGGTTGGAAATGCCCTCTTCACATCATCTCAAAAAAAAGTCAGGGACAGCCAGAAGCCAAGTGACTGACAACTGCTTCAACCCTCAGCTTAGGCAATCAGTTCTTTAGAGATTGCCATTATAGTCTTTTCACCACGCAAAATTATCTGGAGGCATGTTTCTCACTGCTCCCTAATTACTGGTTATAGTACAATAGTTAGTTATACCTCAGAAGCTAGCAGTACACGTACAAAACATAGCAGCTGTAAAAATACCTGATTAGATCTTTCAGTGGCAATCTGGTCGTCCAAATTCCCCTTCTCTTTTCTTTGCTTCTCTTCTAAACATTTTGCCAGATGTTGGCACATTTCTGCTGTGGATGCTAATTTGCGTTGAAGTTGGTGAGTTTCATCAGTGAGTGACCGGCACAGAACATCGCTGGTGGCCTGAGCCTTCTCTCGCTCTGCCAAGCTCTTCTGAAGTCGTAAGATTTCTCTCTCCTTTTCATATGGAGGCTGATTTATCATCTTCTCTATCTCTGTGTTTTTCTCCTCTAGCTGCTGATTCAACTTCTGCACTTCCTAAACATAAGGGAGGAGGAAGTTATTTAAAGTGAAGTGAACACACAAGCCAAAGCATAAGATAGAATTTTAGATTGCAGTAGTTCCATACTGCTTCTATACTCCCTGCAAAGTACTTAAAAGGTAAAAATAAATCCATTTCTATATAAACACTCAACCTTAGAACTGACAGGTCAGTCAGTCAGAATCAGGAACTGCCCAGGCAGCTCTCCAAGCACTTCCTGGTCAGCACAATGAAGAACACAGAAACGTGCAAAAATGTGCCAAGAGTTTATGAAACCCGCTTGCAGCAGCTACAAACCAAAAGATGAAACTTACAAGAAGCATGCAGTTTAAAAGTAGTAACTGTGGTGACTGAGAAATGCTTACTAGCCCTGCATTCTAAGTGACCAGACTGCTAGTGGAGATTTCCCCCTCCCCCCCAAAAAAATTGGACCTAGTAAGTCATCTTAACAAAAACCAAGCATCCTTATTGCCTGGAACAGGGATAAAGGCAAATCAGAGCAGCAGCTTTCCCACCTAGCAAAGGACAAGTGGTAAGGACAAACAAACAGAAAGTTAAATCCTTGTGGCAGCAATAACTGTTGGCAACAGCCAACACCAACATAGTTGACTCCTGGCATACTCTCATAAAATAAACATGTATCTCATTGCTGCGCTTTCTTGTTGAATCAAGACTATGGGTCATCCACATTGCAGCAAGTTAGCATTAATCTAGGTTCTCTGAGAAGGAAGAAGGCAGCTTACAGACAGTACGACGGCACTCAGGTAGCACGCATCTGTAGTACACCAGTCCTGACTCTGCCAAAAGCAGCCTGTGCCCGTCACCCTCCAAAAGCAAAGCATGCCAGTGGGTGCCAGACCGCTGCAGAGCTGGCGCTGCCCTGGGTGCCAGCACAGACACTGAGCAAGCAGTCAAGCTTGACTCCCTCAGTTCCTCAGGACCAATGAAGTGCCGCCACCACACAGGCCAATGACTTCAGAACATGTCCTTTTTGTTATTATTTTTAGTGGCGTTGATTTCAGCATTTTGGATTAGAAATAAAACACTTATATCTAAAAGAATTTTCAGTCTAACCTACAGAAATAGCACTCATTACTAACATTTATATTCTTTCACATCGTGCTGAATTTCCCCTTTGCTACAGATTAAAGACATTCAGCATCAGACTTCAGAACATATTTGGATCCCACCAGTCTTCAAGTGCCACTAAGATCATTTCTTACTACGAATTTCCAGACCTGAACACATTTACATGCATTTTAGGTGAGCATCATATGTGGAAAACGTTTTGTATAAACATTAGGTCAAGAGAGGGCTTATGACAAAAACACTTGTTTCAATTTTAAGTACTGCTTCTTAGTTTGGAAATTCCTCCTTTATACAGCTTCATACAGAAAGAAACGCTTAGAAATTCTTCAAGCATTCTTAGGCTGAGCATGGGAAAGTCTCAGTGACAGCCCCAGAAATAGTGCCTGGGGGCGGGAGGGGGCACAGCTCCGTGCTGCAGCAGACAAGAGATCCTATCTCGCCAGTCTGCCTCATTTGCAGAGTGCAAATCTGATACTGAAGTGCTCCCATTGTCAGTACAACACTAGCCATTGCTGTCACAAAAATAATGGAGAAAGCGGTGTTACCCATCGTTTGTACTTCATTTGTGCCAACTCTTTCTGCTCATCTGGTGCAAGGAGTTCATACAACCTTTAGGCTTGGAAGGGAACATTAAAGGCCAACTGGTCCAACTGCCTGCGATGCACAGCTCCATCAGCTGCTCAGAGCACGCCGTGGCTGTGTGCAGGGGCAGCACATCCAGCACAGCCGGGCAACCTGTTCCAGTGCCTCAGCACCACTACTGTAAAAAAAACTTTTTGCCTTGTATCTCTTCTAAATCTCCCTTCTTTTAGCTTGAAACCACTTCCCCTTGTCCTATCCCAACAGATCCTGCTGAAGAATTTGTCCCCTTCCACCCTGTACCCCCTGAAGGCCCGTTCTCAGGTCTCCCCGGAGCCTTTTCTTGTCCAGGCCGAGCAGCCCCAGTTCTCTCAGCCCGTCCTCGAGTTAAGCAATGCAGAATTTCCACATTTCAACTACTTCTGTTCTGCCCGCAAGAACAGTTACGCGAAGGCTCGCAGCGCCTGGCTGTGTATCTGCAGCACATCCTCACGCCGCACGATCCCGCCGGCAGCGCCCAGCCGGTCGCGCATCCCTCGGCACCGCCCGCCAGCCCCGAGCCCCCGCGCCGCTTCCTCCTCGCCCCGCGCAGCCTCTCCTCACCTGGCTCAGCGCCTCCACTCTGAGCGCCGAGAGCCGCTCGCTGTCCCGCAGTCGCTCCCGGGCCTGCCCCAGCTGCTCCAGCAGGCTCTCCACCAGCGAGCGGGCGGGCTCGGCCCCCGCCTCGCCAACCCCCGCCTGCTGCTGCTGCTGCTGCCGGGCCAGGCTGCTCCGCAGCTCCCGCACCGTGGCTTCCTTGGCAGCGAGCTGCAGCTGGAGGTGCTTCAGCTGCTGGGCGGACTCGTGGTACAGCGTGCAGAGCGCGTTGTAGCGGGGCACTTTGCTCTTCAGGCTCCTGTTCTCCCGGTGCAGCTTTTCCAGCGTTTCCTCCACCTGCCTGAAGCGGGCCACCAGCGGATCGGCGCTGCCGGCCTCGCTCACCGAGCACATGACGAGGGACGGGCTCCGCTCGCGCCGCCGCCCCTTCTCTCCTTCCTCCGGGGCGAGCGGTAACCCGGCCAGCTGCATGCAAACCGCGGGCAGGGCCGAGGCGGCCGCCGACGCTTCGCTCTTCCGCCTTCCTCGACGCAGGAGGAGCCGCCCGCCTTTAAGGCCTCGAGTCCCGCCCAGCCGAGGCTTACGGAGCGGGGAAGCCCGCGGCGGGGCGGGCGGCGCTCCGGGCAGCGCTCCGCAGGGGCTGGAGCGGGAGGCGGGCGCGGAGCGGAGCGGGGGAATCCCGCGGCACGGGGAGCCGGGTTGGGACGGGCTGGGAGCCGGGGGTGAGGAGGAGGAGGACAAGGAGGAGAAGGAGGGGATTGCGGAGCTGAGAGCGGCAAGGGAGCGGGGGGCTGCGCTTCGCCCCGTTGCGAAAGCGCCACGCCGTCCCAGCAGGAGCTGCGGGGATTTCCGGGCGCGGAAGGGGACTTCCCTTCCGTTCCCTTCCCCACCCCCCGCACACGCCTCGGCCAGCGCCTACCCCGCGGGAGGGAGTACGGCAGCGGTCCGTCGTGCCGGTCGGTGCCCCGTCGCCTCAGGAAGGGGTGCTGGAGGAGGCCGAAAGCGGCGCGCCGGGTGTCCGTGTGGTGGGTGGCGGTGAGCGGTGCGACCGCAGAGCCCTTCCGCCGCCGGAGCCCGTTGGTTCTGCCGCGATCCTCGGATGGATGCGGTGATCTGCACGGCCCCATCGCTGCCACGCTGCTCAGACGGCAAGAGAGAAACGAGGCTTTGAGCTCTAGAGCACTAAAGCCCTGGTTACGTGTGATTCGTGTTTGTGATGCTTAGTAAATGCACGTCTGTGTGCACTTGTATAATTCAGCAAGGCTGTGTGTATGGACGCCCGGTCGCTGTAGGTTCGGTGTAAGCACGCAGGCCCCAGGGCAGCGCAGGGAGCGCATAAAGCAGCGGTGCGAGCCGTGTGAGAGAGGGCAGGGCTCTGCGTGAGCGCCTCTGGTAGCAATCACCACAAAGACACGGTGAAGAAGAATTGGTGTGAAACACGTACAAGAGGCTAAGCTGTGACGCCCAGGTGCTTGGAGGCACCCGTTTCATTTCAGCCCATTGTGAAGGCGGTGTCAGTTGACTGGATGCAAAGGCAACATTTTACCTGTGAAGACAATGAAATTCTGGGACGGCTTTGAGCAGCTAGGGACCTCCCAACCTGGATTATCGTCTGATTCAAGGGTCGGTAACAGAAAGAAAGTCACTATTTTGTTACCTCAATCATGCTAGAAAGAATTAAGCAAAAATTGGATGTGATAGTGTCATTGAAGTTGGAAAAGACTCCATGATCACCTAGTCCAGCTTCAGCCCATCCCCACCATGCCTGCTGCCCATGTCCCTCCACATCCCTCAGGGCCTCGTTGACCCTCTTGAACTCCTCCAAGGCTGGTGACTGCCACTTCCCTGCATGGCCCGTTCCAGTGCATCACTGCAGTTTCCGAGAAGAAATTTTTCCTAACATCCAACTCCAAATCATCACTCGGTTTTGCTATTTATAAAATCACGAGTTAACTTGATGGAAATGGAAGACCCCGTGTGACAGAAAATGGTGGAATGCTTGCCCAAGATGCAGGTCTGTGGTACACTTGTTATTTCACCTTTTTTGTAATGTTGGTACTCCGTGATTACACACTGAAAGATGGCATGTGCAGAAATGCAGTTCTTGAGCCTTTGATTGAAGACAGAATTGTGTCCTACAGCTCTAAGGCACCTTTTCCTAGGAAGAAATGAAATTTTCTCCTTAAAAAATTCCAGTGTTTTATAGTTTTCATACTTGTTAGTAAGAAAAACAAAAAGCAACATAGACTTTAATTTCCATTTTCTTATTACTGTACTGCAGTCAAACCTGAGTGAAAAATTTGGAGCAAAACTGCTTTTGTTGACTGATGAAATTTGTTGTAGAAATGTATGGCAAAGTGCAAGTAATGGAGAGATCTGTTTGGTTTCCTGCCAATTCAGCAAACACCAGGTGCCTGCAGATGTGGCAGCAGCACCTTTAGACCAACATCAGGAAGTTTAAGTAGTTATCCAAAGGAATAATTTATTGTGCAGTTGTGTTTTTAATGCAGCATCAGTTTAAAATCAAGCACGGCATCTGATTACTGAAAACTTGATAAGAATAGATCTTTGAGTAAAGGCAGAGGAAAACACCACTAGCTTGAGGGAAATTTGCCCTGCGTAAGTCCTGAGTGAGAAACTGATCCCTTGTGTTCTTGGGAATGCCCTTGGATGACTGTTCCCTTTTGTCAGTTCTGAAATGTGGAGGAATTCTTGGGAATTCAGTGACTGGAAGCTGTACCAGAAGGTGAGTCAGAGCCTGCTGCGTTCTCAAGGCTTTTCCTGGATTGCCTTCGGTTGGGCACGTTGGCTGATAAAGCAGCTGGTGTGCTGAGCGGCACCGCGTTTGTCATTCCTCAGCTTTAGATAGTGGAATGATGGCTTGTTAAGTGCAGTAATTCTGATTAGCAAGTAACTGTGTGGACAGCAGGTATTCTCTGCACTACTTTGTGCAATAGGAAAGCTTCACTTTCTGTGTCTCGCTTGTTTCAGCTTGCAGTAAAAGGTAACATTCACTTCAACCCTTTACTCCTGTGGTATTAAAACCACAGGAGTAAAATTTAACCTCTCATAAATTAAAAGAAATCTTAACAGAAGTTATTTAAAATCTTTTTTTGTGTGTGTTGTAACCCACAATTACAATTTCTGTATATGAACAGAAGCGATTGGCTCCCTAGAAACAAAAAGGAGGTTAAGCAGCTCTGGGGAAATTGGTGAGTGGGAAATGTGAACAGTGCAGTTAGATTGGATTAAGTGTCTGTAGGCATGGGGGGGGGGGGGGGTGTTCATTTTTATTTTCCATTTTGAAATGTGAGTTATTTGTAGAGTTGGTTAAAAAAAAAAAAAAATTAAATTATAGGTAAAAAGAATAATTTCTCTGTATGTGACAGTTATATATAATGTGAATATAACCTGTAACATTTCTGCAAATGTGCTAAGAATCGTAGAATCATAGGAAGGCCTGGGTTGAAAAGGACCACAATGACCATCCAGTTCCAACCCCCTGCTACATGCAGGGTTACCAACCAGCAGACCAGGCTGCCCAGAGCCACATCCAGCCTGGCCTTGAATGCCTGCAGGGATGGGGCATCCACAGCCTCCTTTGTCAGCCTGTTCCAATGCATTACCACCCTCTGAGTGAAAAACTTCCTCCTAATATCTAACCTAAACCTGCCCTGTCTCAGTTTAAGACCATTCCCCTTTGTCCACCCTTGTAAACAGCCACTCCCCATCCTGTTCATACACTCCCTTTAAGTACTGGAAGGCCACAATGAGGTCTCCTGGAGCCTTCTCTTCTCCAAGCTAAACAATCCCAGTTCCCTCAGCCTTTCGTCATAGGAGAGCTGCTCCAGCCCTCTGATTATCTCAGTGCCCTCCTCTGGACCTACTGCAAGAGCTCCACATCCTTCCTGTACTGGAGGCCCCCGGCCTGGACACAGTACTGCAGATGGGGCCTCACAAGAGCCGAGTAGAGGGGGACAATCACCTTCCTGTCCCTGCTGGCCACCCCTTTTTTATTGCAGCCCAGAACACAGTTGGCCTTCTGGGCTGCAGGCACAAACTGCTGGCTCATGTCCAGCTTCTCATCCACCAGGACCCCCAAGTCCTTCTCTGCAGGGCTGCTCTCAAGAATGAGTTTCTGTATTTAGAAGCACAGCTCTGTGGGGTGCTGAAGGCCATTGGGGTGAGTTATGCTCATATCTGAAGGAACCTTCTTTTTCAGCTGTGAACTCCAGGTGTTGTTTGACCAACCACTCTGGATTGGTTGCAGCTGTCTCACATCACCACTAGCGGTCCTGGAAGACAGGCTATGGCCTCATAAGATATTCTGGGCCTTTAGGCTGATTTAATAAACAGAACTAATTCGAAAGTAGCAAACAATCCTCTTATTGTTGTATGATGTCAGATTAACAGCAGTTCATGCCTCCTTTGCTGTTGATTCTGCAGTGGAAACAGGAGTAAAAAGCTAGTGCTGGCTTATTGGCCCCACTGACATCCCCTGTTATGCCTCCAAATACTCATCACTACCAAAGATGCCCAACTCAGAGCCCTGTGCGTGTTTGACAGTCTGATTTTTGTGCTGAACGAATACAGTGTTTATACTTGTGTGACTCATCAGTTAGCACTAATCTGCAGCCGGGTTTACGATTCTTCTGTAAACATCCTTTATATACATTACTGCGTTGGTTGTTCTGTGAGTTCACTGTTCACAGTTGGAATGGGAAACCTGAGAGGTTAATCTGAGGACGTTCAGTACTCCCAGGCTGGGTGATCTCACTGCTACTACGTATGTATGTGGTTATTTCTCTGCTTTGAGTTTCTGGTCTGGATTGCAACATTCTTTTTTCAGTCATGTTTTCAGTTTATACACATAGAATATTTGGTGTTGTTAGGAGAAATAGCATGGTTTTCATTTACTTCTAGTGTAAGTTTTTCCATGTGTTTTATGTCTGATTTGAACTTTGGAGGATGCCAAAACCAGAAGTGTTTTGCTGTCTAGGGCAAATTCCCAAGACCCAAGTCCCTAATCACAGTGTGGCTGGAATAGCCAGAATGAGGAGCCATGAAATAGGACAGATCTGAAGCAATCCACTTGCTTTTCATTAACTCTTCTTTTTGCCTTTATTTGGACTTAGGCAGTTCAGTCTCATCTTTATGGGTGGCCGTAGATAAGCAGGATACGCCCTTCTGCATATCTTAGTTATGTCTTTTAATCAGTTCAGTATTCAAGCAATAGTCTTTCTGTTTTGTTCTGTTACACTTTGCTGGTTTAGACCTTTGCTGCATTTTGCCTTTTGGTTCAGGTTTACCTGTCCTGTAATGGATATTACTTCTGCTAAGCAGTTGTTCTACTTCAGGCCCTGCTCTATTTCTTAGAATCATAGAGTCATAGAATCCTTAGAGTTGGCAGGGACTTTTAAAGGCCATCTAGTCCAACTCCCCTGCAGTGAGCAGGGACATGCACAGCTACATCAGGTTGCCCAGGGCCTGGGCCAGCCTGGCCTTGAAA